TTGATCAGGTAGTGATCTCCTTTTTTGGGGGTGTGTGTCTGAAAATGGCCCAGTCCAAGTAACAGGTCTGCTTCCAGTTCTGAAGCAAGGAAAGTATAGTCCTCCAGATGCTGTTGGGATGTAACCCCATCATCCAACACTGGCTACGGTCGATGGAGTTGTGGCCCAGCAACATTTGGAGGGGCATATTTTGCCAATGCACTTGGTCTTGGAGATCAGTTCAGGGGGCACAAGTCAAAGTAGACACAGTTCCTCCAAATACCTGCATGAGTTGGCACTTCTACGGAAGAGCATAATGATAGTCCTGATGGGATCCGACAACAGAATGGGTGAGCTTTTTTTTCAGTGATGGTCAGAGATCACCTGGCGAGAGGCAAGTGCACATTCACGTCTGCACACAAATAGGAACACTCACGTGCACACACTCAAATATGTACAGCATGTACAAAAGGGAACACATGCACGCACACATGCTTTCTTCCCATTCATTTTGGCATAAAGTAGATGGACAGGAAGTTTTAAACCTCTGAGATGTAGAACTAACTGCATGGCTCCACCAGGCCATGGTTTGGGCAGAGAGTGGGATGAAGAAGAGACATATGATTTCAGTGAACTAGACTGAGAACAGTGCCAACTTTCCCTACATACCATCTTGCCCACCCTGGATAGCCTGCAAAAACATGGTTGTGTCTGGGAAGAGTCATCTTCTTCTGTTCTTTCCCCCAACACAATTGTATCAGGAATGGCAACGGGAAGAAGGAAATGCGGGCATGGCAGCAGCCCCATGGACACTTGTGATGAGTTGCATAAGAGGAATCTGATGGCTGCATGTGGACAGCGGTGTATTGGAGCCATGTCTCAAAGGATTGGAGTCCTAGAACTTTCTGAGTAGTAGGGACTATGCCATTACCCACCCCTCCAGCTTTGCTCTTTCCTCCCTGGCAAGGTTGTAATTCAAAGTACATTAGAGTGGTTTGTTCTTGAACAAGCAATTAGAAGTGATTAAGTTTTCAAAATATTAGCTTCTTATTTTTTTAATAAAATAATTGATCCAGTAGACTGCCTTTTGGACTCTCGTTTTGTGGGGTAGTGGAAGCTGGTTGTCTCTAAGGACTGTCATGATGACCACTCACACTTCTAAATTTACCAGTACACTACTGCATATGACTCATGGACTGTGCACTGCGCATGAGTGTTCAGCTTCAGAACTGGGTATGAATATTCATGGTCAGCTGTTCTCAACCAAGTGCTCTCCAGACATTTCAATGCCCAGGTGCCTAAGGTAGTATGAGCGATAGTCACGGAATTCTGGGAACTGAAGTGCGAAACATCTGGAAGACTGGAGACTAAGAAATATTGATACACCTGCTCTTCTCCTTTTCCTTCATATTGACACCTCATTATGATTTGGACTTCAGCTCCCAGAAGCTCCATCCAGCAGAGCCAATGTTGGGTCATTTTGGGAGATGAAGTCCAGGACATCTAAAAAGCAGAGGTCGAGAGCTACTGCTTTGGGGAAGTCTGCAACGGGAGATGAAGCCAGCACCCCACCTCTGCTGACTGCTTTCCTTTCCCAACCCCAGGAAATGGTTTGCTTCTTTCCCTAAAAAGATAAGTAATGAAAACCTATAATGAGTGAAATAAACATATATTTTCTGCTTTTCCATCTTTCTGCACTATTCCAGCAAAACACTTATAGGATATGAGTTCAATGAAAGAAATGGTAGAACAAAAAGATGCAAAATCGGTGGAGGTTCTGGAAACTCCATATCATCTGTGACTTCACAGCTTCCTCTAATATTTGCTCTACTGTCAGAAACAGCAGCCCATACCAGCTTTGATACAACAAGACATTTTGCCTTGCTTTATATTTGTAAAAAAGACGAAGAATAAACTCATCTAAAAGACATGTTGACAATGTATGACAAAGCACAACTTCATCACTTTAAGATCCTGCTCCATTAAACACTTTCTGTGGACCAAAGGCAATCAAATTGAGCTTTGATAAATACAAAATTTTCTGTACTATGAAATTATTTAGAATGCATTTTTCTCTTTGAGGGAGGGCAGGAAGCTATTACTATACAGCAGCAACCCATTATGTAGCATTTTTCACTTCCTCAAATTGCTTTGTTTACAGTACCCAAGCAGTTCTCCAAACAACATGGTAAGAAAAATTAGCATTATAATTCCCAATTCAGAGGCGTGGCTGAGGCTAACAGAGAAGCAGGTTGTCTAAGGACCACCTCCTGAGTGTTCATAGGTGGGACCTTTCTAACTCAGATCTCACTGAGTATTAGTCATTATATTTCACATATCACATGTGAGAGGCCCATAGACAAGACATGCTTAATCATGAACATTGTGCTTTGGAAACCAGTGATTAACCAGTGATACAAATGCTTCTTTGTATAGCATTCAGAAGCTGTTTACAAAGGGTGACTAAGTATTTGGTATAAAACCATCTACTTCCTAATGCCTGCTGCTTTACCCACTATCAAGACATGCTTGCTAATTCTGACATCTGATTTTTAGATACCTTGGAAGCAACTTTCATAGCATTCCGTGGGGCTTATGACCAGAACTGTCAGTTCAAGAATAGGTATCAAAAAGTTATTCCACTTAGATGTCACACCTCCGAAAGAGCTTGGGCATTCTCAAAGAGATCCCCACAGGCCAGTAGTTCCCAATATTGGGTAACCCAGGTGTTCTTGGACTGCAATTCCCAGAAGTCTTTACCACCAATTGTACTGGGTGGAGTTTCTGGGAGTTGCAGTCCAAGAACA